CCGCGGCCCCACACAGTAAGGCCAGGGAGAAACCCGAGACGCCTTCCTCCTTGTCACGGAAGTGTCGCTCGGTGAGAGCCCGTGTCCGGAGCTGCCCTTTCTGTCAACAGCGGCGATAATTCCCGTAATCTTTGGGGTTGCCCAACTTCACACGGGTGCCTCCCCTGCCCCAGGCTGGAGTTCGTTTCCGCTTTGCGGGGTGGGGGGCTCCAATGCGCCCGTCTTTGGCTCCTCCCCCACTACTCACGTGGGGCTAGGGTCCCTTCCCCACTGCCCACTTCCAGCCTGGGGCAGCATAGCATCCCCCGTGCCTCCGACATGACTCGGGCCTCGGACACCAGGCTCTGCCCACAAGACGCTGACCTGTCCATGCAGCTCGGCCTTGGGCGGCAGCCATCTCCCACTGGACAGGGGTGGGGCACAGAGGGGGTGCTGGCGGTGACAGTGCCAGGACGCTGCCCCCTGCCCTGGACTGGAGCCCCCTCCCAGGGATCGCCCCGCTCCCCTCCCCGGGACAGAGCCAGGCAGGCCTCGGGACGTGTCTGACCACAGGGACGGACGGGGGAGCCCCAGCCCGGGATTCAGGGTGCTGAATCAGAGGCCTGCCCTGCCCACCTTGGCCAGTGAGCTGGGCCCCCCCCTTTGCTGGAAGCCCAGTGGCCAGAGCTGAGCTGTGGGGGAGCCGAGGGGGCAGCACACCCCAACAGTACGGAGTTCGGAGACCCCAGGGGGGCTGGGGCAGAGTCTGTGTCGGCAGCAGGTGTGGGGAGCTGGGCGAGCGCCCTGCCTGTGGGTGCTCACCCCGGCGGGCTCTGGACTCACGGAGAAGGGCAGGCGTGTGGGGGCCTCAGGCTGCGCCCCATCCTCTGTCCATCCCCTGCCCACCGTGGGGCCCTCTCAGCAGGATCCGGGCTGGCCCCGGCGCAATCTCCATTGAGTCAGTGCCAGCACGCGTATCGGGGCCCTGCCGCCCGCTTCCTGTCCCAGATCAGAGGGGCCGGAGGCCAGGCAGCACCCTGACGACAGCAGGCCACGATGCTCTGACTCTCGGCCAGGGCCTCCGCCCTGTCCCGGCCCAAACAAGCTTGAGGTCTCCATGGCGACGCCTGGACCACCCCACCCATGGTCCTTCCGTGCCCGACCCTCGTGAGAGTCCACTGGCTTATCAGGTCCCGGGAGGCCGGCGCCGCCCAGCCCAGACGCGGAGCTGAGTGACCCTGGGGACGTGGTGATGGGGGTGAAGGCTCCGGGGTCACGGGGCCTTTGCTCAGCGTCCCGCTGGGATGAGGGGCCTGTTGGCTCCATCCCTATTGGGGGACCCCCTTCCTCGCAGCCCCCTTTCACGAGGGGGAAACTGAGGCCCGGCCACAGCCCCTTCCTGCACCACCTCCCGCCTGAGTGCGGGACCTCCCTCTTCTTGTGGAGGCCGGGGCAGGCTCTGCCCAACGGGTGCACCTGCTCTCCCCCACCAGCCCCTGCGCCCCTCCCCCGCCCACGGCCACACACACACAGCTGTGCCACTGAGGGCCGGCCCAGCAGGCAGGTGGCCGAGGCCCCTCAAGCTCAGTGGTGCAGACCCTGTGCCTTAGCTGCCCAGGGCAGCGGAGGGGGCTGCTCAAGAGGTCACAGGAGCGGGACCCTGACCGGGCTCACAAGTCGCCGGCCCCACACCGTCCAGGCTGCTGGGCTCCCTGCTGACTCTGGGTTCCCAAGCCTGGGCTTGTTCTGTCCCTCTGCACTGGGGAAGGCAGCGCACCCCCCAGGACCCCACAGGGAGCCCCTGCGATGGGTGGGTCTCCCAGGCCTCAGGAAGACTCGGGCCTGGCCCGATTTCCAAGGGACCAGTCAGCCCCGTGGTCCATTTCTGGCAGTTCAGGAACCGGAGTCGGGCCCCACGGGAAGCCTGGGCCAGCCAGGCGGCCCCCCACCCCGGTGCTGGCTCCCCATGGCCTGGATCCCACAGTGGCCCGGCCAGCGTCATGTGGGGCTGGAGGTGGCTGAAGCTGCCCTCTCTGGGCAGTGGCTTGGCCCTGGCCTCAGACATACAGGGTGTGCCCCCTCAAGGCCAGGCTGTGAGTCAGCCGGGTCAGGGGTCGGGGTGTGGACCCCGGCCTGGCCGCCACCACCTTGCTGAGAACGTGAGGAGGGCAGTCCTGTGGTCACCCGCCTTGGGGCCTAGTGGCCACTAGCAGTCCCTCCAGCACTGGCCCCAGCACCTGTGTGTCCCACCCACGAGGCAGCGAGCACTCTGGAGCCAGCCGCGTCCACTGGGCCTGACCCTCAGGGAGGCTCACCGCCCACACCCTGCCCTGGGCGCCCCGGCCCCATCAGGCCAGGTGACGCAGGGGCTAGCCCTAAGGCTGGTGGCCAGCTATGCCCAGGGCACTGGGGCTTCTAACTGCCCCCTGTGTGAGAGAGCACCGACTCTCTACGTCACTACCACTGCCTCTCCTGCGTGGTCACACGGCCACTCACTGAATCGTTCATTCTCATTCACTCATTCACTCCCTCACTGTCCCTCTCCCTCACGTTCCTGTTCTCTCTCCAAGGCACCAGGACCAGGTCGGGGCATGGGGCAGGCATAAGACAGAGAGGGGACCTCAGGAACCAGAGGGGCTGGGCCCAGTGCAGCAGAGCCAGAAGCCAGTGTTCAGAAAGGCCTGGAAGCTTCTCTCTGACCCCAGACCCTCCCAGCCCAGCCTTTCTCTTGGCCGCTGTCCTGCCTTGGTGGGGTCTCCCAGTCCCTGCCCTGGGTGGGGGTGGGGGGCCTTGTTGCCTGCTTGGGGGCTTCGGCCCACAGCCCCCCTCCAGGGGCAACCCCAGGAGCTGTGTCCCGACGGCCCCAGGCGTGCTGTGGCCTCTCCAGGATCTCTAGGGCCTGGATGTGGCCCAGGAGGGGGACACCCGGGCGGGATCCCTGCAGGTCAGGACTGAGGGGAGGCCTTGGGGAACCAGGTCCCACCTGGGACACGCCCACCTCTGCCAGCCGCTGGCCCCTGGCCAATCCCAGGTGAGCGCCCACTGTTTACCTGGGTGAGGGGAACTGCAGGCCTGCCCCGCCCACCCACGTGAAGCTGCTGGGGCCCGAGCCAGCTCTGGGGCTACAAAAAGCTGCCGCCGACTCGGGGCCCTCCTCAGAGGCCGCCCTCGGGGAAGCCTCCCCACACTGCACACCATGGGTGTCGGCCGGAGGAAGCTGGCCCCGCTCTGGGCCCTGGCCCTGGCCCTGGCCTGCGCCCAGCACACAGGTAAGATCGGAGCAGCCCACCCTGCCCGGGACGCTGCTGGCTGTGGCACAGAGCCCCTGGCCGCTCCCCCAGGCCCTGGGTGGGAGGGGGGCCTGACTCCAGTGGGCAGCGGGCAGAGTGCTTGCCTGGGTTCCGGGCAGGCTGAATGTGTCCATGAGAGGACCCCAGCCGGTGTCACCAGGAGCGGCCTCAGGCTGCCGGGCTGGGGCGGGATGGCTGGACGCTCCCTGCGGCAGAGACAGGATCCGCGGCGCCCGTGGAGCCCCTGCCCCACCAATGCAGCCCTGCCCCCTGGGCGGGCGGCCCCCTGGCCAGGACAATCGCCTGCTCGCCAGCCTGGTCACACGCCCAGATTCCCTGGGCCTTGAGGGGGTCCCCTGGGTCAGCTGGGGGTGAAGGGTGCAAGGCCCCCAGGCAACCCCTGCCCCCAAGCTGGGGCAGGGCAGGTACCGAGCACACAGCTCCTGGGGGCCCGACAGCCAGCCTCAGCCCCGCTGCCACGGCCACGGCCACCCGGCTCGCACAGCACGGGGGTCCCAGCCTCTGCCCCGTCCCCCGGCAGCCACAGAGCCAGGAAACCTCCGGTGCCACCATGTGCTCTGTGTGCTCTGAGCAGGGGGCCCACCAGGGTCTGCATTCGGAGCCCCGCTGGACCCAGCGCCTTCCCTCGCCCCGTGCCCGGGAGCAGCCTGAAGGCCCCGGCCGCGGTGCCTGGGCAGGGTGGGTGGGAGAGGCTCAGGGTGCAGCCAAGGTCAGCGCCAAGGGGCCCCGAGGAGCCTGGGGTCTGGGTCTGTGCCTGCCTGGCCAGCGTCACCCCTCCCATCAGCAGCCCCCTCTGTCTGCTTGCTTCAGGGTGGGGGTCGTACCCGGGTGTCTGGGAGCCCTGGACAGGCCCTCGCTGTCCCCGTCTTGCCTGGGGCGCAGCCCGGAGGTGGGGCTCACGGATTGTTCCAGGCCAATGGAAGAGGAAGGAAGCCCCGAAGGGCAGGGGCCTGTTGGGGGGGCCGACTCCCGCTCTGTCACCAGTGTCCATCTCCCCAGGGCCGGCCCCTTGGGATCGGCACAAGAACTCACAGGGTTGGCCCGTGTGGAGAGGCTCAGCCAGCCTGGGCCGGGGACCCCCAGTGACGGATGCAGAAACTGGGAAGCCAGGCTCAGGTGGAGGGCGGGGGTCACGCCTCTGACAAGGCCCCATGTGGGGAGCACGGCGCGGGCTGGGCTGGGTCTGGGGACCTCCCTCGCACCCGCACACTGGCTCGGTCTGGACCGACCCCAAGAACAGCCTTCCCGCTCCTGGGGGCCACACTGCCCCTCCCGCTGCCCTGGTGACCATACCCTGCTGGGGTGCCCTCCAGACCCGAGCCACCTGTGCCTGTGGAACCCACAGGTCCGTGTCTGATCCCCTCAGCGGGGCCCTGCTCTGGCTGGGCTGTGCCTCTGCCTCCGCATCTCACACAGGATGGAGCCCTGGCTGACCTCAGCACACTCTTGACAGTGAACGAGTGGCCCCTGGACACGCGGGTCAGGGCGAGGGGATGCCCTCCATGCCAGGGACTCTGCGGGGCCGAGTCGACAGCCCCTGGCCCTCGGGGACAGAGGCCTCCGGCCCCCGAGCCCTGCAGAGAGACAGCTTCACCACCGTGAGGGCCACCAGCGCCCTCTGGGCCTGCTGCCCACCCCCCCCCCGCCGTGGGTGTTGCCCCTGGTGGCTGGCAGCCTGCCCACCCCATGCCGCCAGCCCGGCTGTCCCTCAGGCTGTCCCCTTTTCCACAGGCCATGCCCAGGGTGGCTCCTCGGAATCCAGCTACGGCTCCTACCTCGACCTCCCTGCCATCCCGCAGGGGCCCAGTGGTGAGTCTGACTTCTTGTCCCAGGCCTGTCTGACGCCCCTGGCCATCGCTGCAGGGCCAGACTTTAGGGGGCTGGAGGACACTCCTCGTATATGCCCTGGCCCGTCCCTGCCTGCCCCCTCACTGGCCCAGAGAGGCTGGTGGGTCCTCGGGGGTGCCCGTGTCCCCCCAGACCCAGCTGGTTGGTTCCTGTCTTTGTTCCTCCATTTGACTCCCACTATTTCAGCGACCTCTGCGACTCTGGGCGGCCTCTGGCTGCTCCGTCCTCAGAGGCCCTGGCAGAGAGGGCAGGTGGGGGGGGTCCCACAGCACCTGATGCCCTAAAGGAAGGGGGCTCGGGGGAGTTCAAGGCTGATCCAGCCCCTCCAGCTACTTCTCTGAAGGGGCGAGGCGGGGTCTGAGCATGGAGGTTGATCCGGGCACTTTCCAGTGCCTCGGGGAATGGGTCTGAGGAAGCCCCAGTGCAGCCGATGGCTCCCAGGGCTCCCTGGGGTGGCAGCCAGAGGACATAGAAAGTCGCCAGAGAAAGGGGACAAGCGCCCAGCTAAGTCCCCGCTGTGCCCCGTGGGGGTCTCACCATGGCCAGGGAGCTGCAACATGCAGAGCCCAGAGCCCCCCCCCAAAGCGCTGGGGCCCGGCCCTGGGATGCCCCTCTGGGCAGTGGGAACCCCAGTCCTGCCTGAGGCTTGTGCACCCCATGAGCCCCCATCTCTGCAGGTGACTCCCTCCGAGGGGTGACCGTGGTCCCACCCCTGAGGGCCATCCCCGTGGTGCGAGGTGAGTGAGCCTTGAGGCCCGGATGGGGAAGGGGCTGGGGCTGGGGCTGGGGCTTCCCTCCTCAGCCCTGCAGGGGCCAGGGCGGCTCAGTGGGGCTGGTGAGATGGAGAGAGCACCCCAACCTGCGGGGTACCAGGGCTCCTGGACGCAGGCAGGGCTGGTGGCAGAGGGGTGGGTGTGGCCGCATGAGGTGCAGGTCACCTCCAATGGCCGCGGTTGCTTCGGCCACAGCCCCGGACCCCGTGCACAACGGCCGGGTGTGCAGCACCTGGGGCGACTTCCACTACAAGACCTTCGACGGCGCCGTCTTCCGCTTCCCGGGCCTCTGCAACTACGTGTTCTCTGCGCACTGCGGCGGCGCCTACGAGGACTTCAACGTGCAGCTGCGGCGCAGCCGGCAGGACGGCGCTGTGGCCCCGAGCAGGGTCATCATGAAGCTGGAGGGCCTGGTGGTCGAGCTCACCAGTCACTCCGTCCTGGTCAGCGGCCGCCCGTGAGTCTGGGTCCGGCGTGGGCCTGGGGGAGGAGGCAGCACCCCCGCCCCGGGCGGCGGGCAGGAGGAGGCACGTCCAGGGTGGGACTGAGCTCGGCCCCTTCTGCGACACCAGGGCCCCAGGCCCCGTCTGCCTGGGGCCCCGTGTCCCCTGCTGCCCAGGGTCCCTCTCCCTGCCCGCCGCTGGCCCCTCAGCCCCACCGCCTCTCCCCAGGGTGCAGCTGCCCTTCAGCCAGGCGGGGGTTCTCATAGAGCGCAGCAGCAGCTCCCTGAAGGTGGTGGCCAAGCTGGGCCTGGTCTTCATGTGGAACCAGGACGACAGCCTCCTGGTGAGCCGGGGAGGGGCTGCACGTGGTCTCCGGTGAGGCTGGGGCGGGGCTAGCCATGCACCACAGCCTCTCCAGGAAGGGGGGAGGGCTCTGGGCTGAGAGAGGGGTGACGATCAGACCCCACCCCCACACAGAGCTGGACGGTGGCCTTGTGCCACTCGTGGGGAAGCTCCCCCAGCCTGGGTCTCCTCCGTGAGCCCAGCATCGTCCATCCCTGTCCCGGGCGGCCCTGTGGGGCAGGCAGCTGATGTCTCCTCTGATTCCAGCTGGAGCTGGACTCCAAGTTCGCCAACCAGACCTGCGGGCTCTGTGGAGACTTCAACGGCATCCCCGCGTCCAGCGAGTTCCTGTCCCACAGTAAGCGAACCCCGCGGCCACCATGGCGCCGTCCATGCCCCTTTCTCGGGGCTCCGGGGGCTGCAGGGATCCTGAGGCTGTGCACACGCATGCACACACACACGCATGACCCCTGCACGGGCACACACACACCTGTACACACGCACAGCTGAGCACCGGTGTGCACACCTGTCAGGTCCCTTGCTCTCCGTGGGCCTGCTCTGGGTTGTAGCCCCCCTGACCACACCTGACACCACACCTGTGTCCCCTCTGCCAGACCCAGGAAGACCCACACAGGCCCACTATGGGTGTGTCTGGTCGTGGGGGACCACGTGTCCAGCAGGTTCACCCTCCGGCTCCTGGGGCTGCATCCCAGCCTGGCTGGCAGGACCCCAGGACCAAGCATGGGCGATGGCCTGGGCCACCGCCCAGGGACTCTGAACCCCCAGCCCCTGTGCGGGTTCCTCACAGATGCCCCCCTCCCTGAGTGTCCCAGGCAGCACGGTCAGGAGCTGGGCCCGCACAGCCAGGGCAGCTCAACCGGCCTCGGCAGGGGGCGCCTCTGAGCCGCCATGGGGCCTCTGTCCTGCAGACACCAGGCTGACCCCCGTGGAGTTCGGGAACCTGCAGAAGCTGGATGGCCCCATGGAGCAGTGCCAGGACCCGGCCCCAGAAAACAAGAGGAACTGCTCCACAGCCCCGGTGAGCCCTGCGTGGAGGGGCGGGGCGGGGTTGCGGGGACCCTACGCGGGGTGCCCCGAGCTGGGACTCAGCGCGGCTCCCGGCCCCGCCCCAGGGCGTGTGCGAGGAGGTGCTGGGCGGCGAGCTGTTCTCGAGCTGCGCGGAGCTGGTGGACGTGAACAGCTACGTCGAGGCCTGCCGGCAAGACCTCTGCCTCTGCGACAGCGCCCACCACGCCAGCTGCATCTGCCAGACCCTAGCCGAGTACGCGCGCCAGTGCGCTCACGCCGGCGGGCTGCCCCTGGACTGGCGGGGCCCCGACCTCTGCCGTGAGTGCCCCCCGCCCGGCCCCCACCCCGGCAGGCTGCCGCGCCCCACGCCGGGCAAGCCGTGAACGAGTCCTGCTGCCCCTGCAGCCCTGACATGTCCCCACGACATGGAATACCACGAGTGCCGCTCACCCTGCGCCGACACCTGCTCCAACCCCGAGCGCTCCCAGCTCTGCGAGGACCACTGCGTGGCCGGCTGCTTCTGCCCCGAGGGTGAGCCCCGAGAAACGCACGGCTGCTGGGCTGCTGGGTGGCCGGGCCGCGCCTTTACAGAGATGCCCCTCGACCCTGGAGGGCTCCTGTGGGCGCTGGACTGTCCTCTCCACCGTGAGCTCCCGTCACACGCCTGCCCGCCCTGCAGGGACGGTGCTGGACGACATCGGCCAGGCCGGCTGTGTCCCCGTGACCCAGTGTGCCTGCACCTACAACGGGGCCACCTACGCGTCAGGAGCCAAATACTCCACAGACTGCACCGAGTGGTAGGTCCCCCGTCTGCCCCGGGATGGTCCCTCAGGCGGGGCTGGGGCCAGCCGAGGGTGGCGTGGTATGAGCAGTCTGGGCAGGACACAGCTGGCCCGGTCCCTCCTGGGGGAACGGCACTCACATGGGCCCCATCTCTGCCACTTTTAGCACCTGCTCCGGAGGCCGCTGGAGCTGCCAGGACATCCCATGTCCAGGCACCTGCTCGGTGCTGGGGGGCGCCCACTTCTCCACGTTCGACGAGAGGCAGTACACGGTGCACGGGGACTGCAGCTACGTGCTGGCCAAGGTGCGGGAACACGGCTAGCCAGGCGCCAGCCCCGGCCTTTCCCAGCCTGGGCTGCGTCACTGCTGCCCCCGGGGTCCTTGATGCAGGGACCATGGGGACATGGCCAGGCTCTGAGGCGTCAGTCGGCCGCTGGCCCGGCCTCCACCCCACAAGGGGGGCCTCAGACCCCAGGTGCTTTCTTGTTAGAGATGAAATGGACAAGTTTCAGGTTCATAAATAGACCAGGAAGTGCAGCCCCGCCAGGCCCCGTCCCCAGCATGGAGTCCCCCGATGGCCGCTGGCTTGTGTCAGGGTGGGGCCCAGGTCACCACTGGACACCCCCGACTGTCACCGGCCGAGGGGCTCATCCTGGTGCCGCTCACCCTAGAGGTTTGGACAAGCTTATGATGTGTGTCTGCCTTCTCTGACCGTCACTTGGTGGGTGGCAGGGTGTCCCCAAAGGCCGGGGTCCCGAGCACGGGGGTGGGACGGGGGTCCCGGCGGGGGTGGAGTGTGAGCCCGCGTGTGTCCCTAGTCCTGTAACAGCAGCACCTTCACCGTGCTGGCGGAGCTGCGCAGGTGCGGGCTGACGGACAGCGAGACCTGCCTGAAGAGCGTGACGCTGAACCTGGACGGGGGGCAGACGGTGAGTGTGCCCCGCGGCCCAGGCCTGCGCTGCGAGGGCTGGAGGCCTCTGTGGGGGCTGCGCCCACTGTGCAGGGGTGTTCTGAGGGACCAGCTCAGGGTCAGGGCACTGGGGCCTCCACAGTCCAGCCTGCGAAGGAGGGACTTGGTGTGTCTCCAGCCAGCTCGCGGCTCTCGCTGAAGTCCACCTGTGTGTGTATAAAGCGACAGTCGGGCCACAACCCTAGTGCAGGCCCCTGGTCCTCAGCCCACTTCACAGCCCCACTGGGGGGCTGGGGGGCCAGCTGGCCACGGCCCACGTTGGCCACGGCCCGCGCTGACCCCGGGCCTGTCCTCTACCCCCAGGTCGTGGTGGTCAAGGCCAGCGGGGAGGTGTTTGTGAACCATATCTACACCCAGCTGCCTGTCTCCGCAGGTGAGCGCGCGGCCCCGCCCACCCGTGCCCGCCCCCCGCGCCCGCCCCAGCTCCCTACCCACACCTGCTCCTCTGTCCCCACCCACACCTGCTCCTCTGTCCCCACCCACACCTGCTCCTCTGTCCCCGCCCACACCTGCTCCACTGTCCCCACCCACACCTGCTCCTCTGTCCCCACCCACACCTGCTCCTCTGTCCACAGCCAACGTCACCATCTTCAGGCCCTCCACCTTCTTCATCATCGCCCACTCCAACCTGGGCCTGCAGTTGGACATCCAGCTGGTGCCCACCATGCAGGTGGCTGTGAGGCTGGAGCCTGAGTTCAGGGGCCGGACCTGCGGTAAGGCGCGGCGCTGCCCGCTTGGAGCCCACCCTCCCGGGCCGGAGCCCAGGGGGCCTCACCCGCCCTCCCTGCCCCAGGTCTCTGCGGGAATTTCAACCGCGTGCAGGCAGACGACTTCCGGGCCATCAGCGGTGTGGTGGAGGGCACGGCCGCCGCCTTCTTCAACACCTTCAAGACCCATGCCTCCTGCCCCAACGTCAAGAACAACTTCGAGGACCCCTGCTCCCTCAGCGTGGAGAACGGTACGGGGACCCCCGCCCCCCACATCCAGGCCGGGGCAGGTCAGGCGCTGACATGGACACGAGTCCCGGAGGACACACAGCAGGCACTCGGGGTGGGGGAGGTTTGGTCCCGCCAGCCCAGCCCCTTGGTGTCCGCGGTGCAGGTTGGCTTCTGGGGACCCCCGTGGGGGCTCTGTCTGCCTGGAGACAGACACCCCCAGCCCCAGACTCAGGTGCAGCTGCAGGGTGACGTGTGTGGCTCACGGCGTCTCTTCTGTCCACAGAGAAGTTTGCCCAGCACTGGTGCTCGCGGCTGACAGACGCCCAAGGCCCCTTTGCCCAGTGCCACTCCGCCGTGAGCCCTGGCACCTACCACTCGGTAATGCCTGCGGCCCCTCCCCTCCTCCGCTGCCCCGCCCAGGGCCTGGTGCCCGCCTGCAGGGCGGTGGGGTGTCCTCCAGGCCACAAAGGCCCAAGACCACCAGACCCGTCTCTGCGGCTCCATCCATGTCCACGCATTCATCCCTTCACCGCGTGTTCACTGAGTGTGGTCCAGG